AAATATCTCCTTTGTCTATATAAAAAAGGGCTAGAATAGGGCATTTGTCTGTATAGCTAATACCCATTACAGTGAGAAACCAAAACAAACAAAACCTCAGTAGAACCCATGTCATATCGATAAGATTTAGAATAAGTGGCACAGGTGCAGATCAACTTCTCAAAGAGTTCAAATGCAAAATACCTCCTCCAAATATCAGTCAACCAATATTTCAGTCTATTTACAAGTTTGGTCATTAGGCCATTTCAGTATTATGATTCTCCAAGAATGTACAAAATTTTGTTAAAAACAAGAGCTAACTGATGTTTTCCAACGAAATTTTCACATGCATAAATCTATCACATACCATCAAGAGATGTAACATTAAACACAAAATACGAGAACTAGGTATGTAAATATATGTAAATATCTTGACCTGCTGAAAAACCCTAGTAGATTCAGACAGAGAAAAAAATAAATCTAAAAATAGCTGCAACTTACATGAAGAATAGCAACAATAAAAATAAGCCCTGAAGAAATATGCTGTATGTACAACAGCTACTCGTTGGCACTTTCTTGACTGCAAGGGACTGCAAATCACAGTTATCGTCAAGTTATCTAACTACACTTTCCAATCTCCATGGCATACACTTTGCCCAGTTACTCATCATAAATGAGAATAGCTAGGGCAAATTCTTTATGACTAATTTTAACAATTTTTCCATCACTGAAGTAGTAAAGGACAAAGAGAAGATGAAAAGAAACACAACACATCCTAATTGTGACTGTAATGTCAAACTGTATTGATTATCATATAATGAGGGCAGAGGGAATAAGAGACCTAAAGAAGCTAAAGTTACTCTCGGTAGTCTGCCGTATCATAAAAACAGGCTAGATTCTCTACAGTTTAGCACTTAAGCTCATCCTAAATTATTTGAGACAAATTTCTCATTGGAAATGCCTATCCTTCACTCTCTGTGAAATACTGAAAAGTCACTAGCTTTAACTCAGAAAAAAAAATGATACTTTGAAATCCACCGGTAGCTAAACCCAGATAGTAGGATATTGATTTTCTTATTTGTATGCTGGCACCCAGATCCAGTGAAAGCACTGAGATAAAACTGCACTTACATATGCAGATAAAAGGGAGCTTTCTAAAGGTATGTCTTATCAGAGTAAAGTCAAAAAAGCCTTGAAAAGCTAGAGGAAATCTTTATCTGTCAGATGACATGTAAAAGCAATCCCTGTCCCAGCTTTCTCTGTAGTGTCAGGGCAGGTCATTACATTCAGTCTCACTTTTCAATCCAGCAACTGGCAGCTGTTGGACTTGCAGAAACCTGGCATCACCCTTCCAGTCTCCTGAAAAGTCTCTTTATACCTGTAACCTTTGAGACTTGATCACTGGAGTCTCTCAGCTCCAGACTCTCCTCCAAACTGACCATATTCAGATGCCATTTCCCCCTCAAAGGTTCCTCCTGACCCAAAATGCAGCTCTTGAGACATTGCCTTACAGAGGAAACTTTTCTGATGTTTAGCTACAAAATTAATAAAATATTACGCTTGTGTAAATTAAATCATTCTACTATTTTTCAATATATACTATGAGGGGAAAAGCCAGAAAACTCCTGAATTCTTCTGGTCAGAGCTAAAAAAAAAAAGATAGCATTTCTTAGATCAAATTTGGAAAAGGCTCAAACTTGGTTACAAGTAAATCTGGGATAATTCATCAACAGACTTCGTTTTCCTAAATTAATCATAGCTGCACATAAAAGCAAATTTTGCAACCCTTGACACCATAAACTAGTAGAAAAGGCAAGACTTGTGTAAGGGTACAAGTAGAGACGCAATAAACTTCGAGTGCCACTGTCAGCATGCCTCTAAATCTCCAAGTGTCTTCTTGGGAAGAAGCAAACCCACCAGCAGCATGCCTCTTAGGTAACCGTTCTGTTCTCTGCTCACTGCTGCCCTGTAATTACTTTGAGCATAACTTCATACTAAAAAAAAAGAAAAAAAAGTTTGAAGGGTGGAAATTATTTCTAAAATGTTTGTTAAAACATGATGGCAGGATTTTTTTTTTAAAATATGTACATTCACAACTAATTATCCTTTCTTATTTTTAAAATGGTTTTCAACTTGATGTAGATATTTTCATCCTTATTTATAATGCTCTAACTCAATAGCTGCCTTTATGCTACAGGTTAAGCTCAAAAGGAGATAATATTTTAAAAAATTATTCCAAAATAACAAGGTATCACTGCATTAGGAATAATTCCTAAACCACGTGGCACAGACAACTTATCAGTTTTAAGAGATACAACTGGCTGCTCCCAGTTAAAGCCTAGGGAGTAAGACTTACAGGGAAACTGTAGACTTCCAGTGTGGTGTGGCTGGTTTCACATTAAAGAAACATTGCTTTATTTGTAATACTTAGTCCTTTAAGTCAAATCACTGAAAAATTTTCAATCTTCTTTTCTTTAGGCTCTTGTAGCTTGTGCAGGAAAGAGTTTATGAGACCATGACAAGAAGTTACACTAAAAAATTTGGGAAAAGAGCAAGATGCAAAGAGGAGATGAGAAGGAATCTATAAACAAGACATGGAATCGTTATTGGAAATAAAATGGAGACTAGCATAAAGAAGAGGAAAGAACTGAGCAGTAAAAATTAGTATAAATAGGGTGGTGGTACAAAGGATAAGAAGTGAAAACAGACAAAGCAATATGAAAACTAATGGGAAAGAGCATCTTAATGTGGTACCACTCGGTTGTCCAATAAAACACTGCAGCATTTGTCCAAATACAACAATAAATTGACACTTGCAAATTAAAGTGCACAGCACAGGCTACAATAGATCAAAATGAAAGGGTTCTTGGAAAAGGACAGTGAATGAAAACCTGAGAGACCTGTATTAAATTACAGGTTTGGCCATTATCTTCCTATGAGATATAAAAAATGGGAATATAATGCCTCCTACCTTGTTGTGACAATAAAACTCATTAATTACCATGAAGTGCTCCCACATTACAGACAGCATTGGGGAGGGGAAATAAGTAGAATCTAATTGCTGTTGCAGGATAAAGAGTACAAAAGGTCTATTACTGATTGATGGACTACGGGGTTACAAATTGATCATTTTATCTGAGACTGAGAAATCCAAAGGCCAAAGAATGATTGACCTTCACATTCTTGTTTGTTTTTTAAGTCCAAGAAAACACAGTGATTAGATTCAAAAAGGCCCACTGAGACAGTAGAAGAAAAATGAGAGAAGAATCTCCTGAATGTGGTATGTAAACAGGAAGAAGGAAAGCAAACTGTACTGCAGCATATACAGAAAAATACACAGAGTTTAAGTTTAAGAGGATTGCTCTTCTGATAAAGTTGTAATTCTAAAAGGATGAGTGGAGACAAATTAAAACTGGTGGGGAGGACCGGTGAGATTAATTTCTTCTCCATCCAAAAGTTAAGATCTAAGAGTCTGTAATAGAAACTGGTCAACAGAGAGAAATACACATCTAGATTCAGCTGACCTTAGACATCTGTCTCAGAACAAACTGAACAGCTCTCTAGAGGTACCCACAGGGACTAGCTTAGATGTCTAATCTAAAAAAAATAAATTTCTGCTGCTAATTATTCTTAATTGTACTGAAAAAGGAATATAATATCATTTCCCATGAATAAATGAAGGCTCGCTGCATGGACAAGGAAAAAAATATGGACTTAGAGGCAGAAAAGCATGGATGGCAAAAGCAGTTTTACTGACCAGTGCTTCAGAGATGATTCTCTTAAAATCTCTTGATTTCAAAAAAAAAAAGAAAAAAAAAGAAAAAAAAGAAAGGCTGTCGAGCATTTTTTTCAGGCAGGACCAGGGAGAAGAGTCTGTAGTGTTTGCATACATATTTGAGACCTGGATGAACCCAATATTTAAGCACTGTAATTCTGTTTCCAGAAGTGATCAGCACCTGCCATTCTAGTGACTTTAATGAGAACAGACAAATATCTTTCAAATTTAGGTTACTTTTTATGAAGTTTACCTAAAACATGCACATTTTAAAACTCAGGACAGTCTGGTTTGTTGTATTTGGATTCAAGTACTCATAACTCTATATAAGCATATATAGTAGTTCTGCTTGACATGATCTATGTATCTTCTTTAATTGCCTTACAGCAGAGGCATCAATTATAATAGTGATGCCATCAATCTCTAAAGAATACTTGATTAAAAAGTGCAAATGAAGCATGCTGGCAATTCTGATTAATACATTTAAAATATTTTTTCTACGGTTTTATAAATTAAATCTATAATGAAGACAAGCAGTTGTATTATCTCAAGTGAAGGTGAGGATAACTTGTATTCTCCCCAGAAGACATAAAGATTTTTAACAGTTAATGGCAGATAGGAGAGTTCAAACCTCTTAAAGGAAGAGTTTTAGTAAACCAGGAATTGAAGTATCATATATTTAGTTTAAATATTGTGACTGGATTATCAATTTCCCCAAAGCTTGCTACAGTCAAATAAGCAACAACAAGGTGCATGAAAATAATTGTTCAGTAGCATTTTACATCTGCCTTCTCCTCATGTAAAAAATTTCTTACAAACAATACAGAACACCATAACATGAGCTTGGAAAATAAGACCAGAAAATGGCTCCTTCAGAGTAAATTATTTACATTTATCATTTTGATTCTCCAGACCTGTAATTATGGTTTTATTACATTTCAAAAAGTGAATGATACTGCTGTATGCATCTTTATTCTCTCAGCACATACTCTGACTGATCAGTAACCCAAGCTACATGAAAGGAGACAGACATTGAGAATTAGAACATAAAACATTATCTGGCTCTTGAGGAGAATTTGGAGACATTTTTAAGTTTCTTGCTTTCTTGCTTCTGCAAAATATTTAAATGCTAGTCTTAGAGTTTCATTAATATTTTCAATCCCTTAATTTTCAAGGATTACAAGTTAATTTACAAGTAAATCTAAGATTTACAAAAGGAAATGAAATTAAATGAAACATTACTTACATCATTCTGATCATCTTTTGCATTGTAATAGATTATATCATTATTCTGTAAGAGAAAGAAAAGTAATTCTGTTAGTTTGAAAGGCGAGAATAAATTTAAGTAACAATACTCTGTACTATTGTAAAATACATTTTGAAATAAAAAACACAGTTCTTTATGTATTCTCTTTGAAACAAGACAGACTCAGATCTTTGCTTGTTCTCTGTTGTGTGTCGTATTTGTCATGCTCATGCTTATGTTCATACATTTAATGCTTCTTCCTTGGGAAGCTACATAAGTCACCCAAAACACAGCTAGAAAAGTATGGATAACATTGGACAAACTCGAGAGCTCATAAAAGACTTCCATAAGTTGTTTCTGTTACATACATGTGACTTCCCCTGTGCAATTAGGTGATTTATGCACCATGACATCCAGCAGACAACAGATACAGCGACGCATGGGCGTTGCTAAGTGGGTTAAGTATTTGTTGCACACACGTTTATTCTTCTATTCACCTCCCACGGTGAAAATACAATCTGCGAAAATACATCACAGCAGTCTGGCTGTGGTAGTGGAGAGCAGATCCTGGCAGCTCTGTAGAAACACTGTACCATGTAATTCAAGTAAAGCAAAGAAGGAGAAGATTGCTAGTTTCCATTACAGAATCAGTGAGAAGCTTCATTCAGCAGTTTGAAAATTGGGCTATTTCCTATGGAATACAGTTTTGTTTTCTCTTGAAATACTTCTGAACCATTTAACAGCCTCGAAGACTTAGGTTCGCTGTAGTAGCTTTCCACCAAATAGAATTGCTGCAATGTGCCCAACAGCTTTTCATCAAAATCAAGCAATTGTTATGTGCATTTCTCTATTAAATAGTATGGACATAGTATTTTTAAGTCCCTTCACAGATTTTGAATAAATAAAGGAGAAATTACATTTCTTCATGTCCAGCAGCGTGTTTAAAATATTACTTGCACTAAAAAAGTGCCATGACATGTACTACAAGGTAAAGCACTTCACCTTTATAAACCATCGTTTTCCTCACTCCATAAATAATGACATCATTTATTCTTCTTTGTGACCTTTTAGAGAGTCAGACATGAAATATATTACAGATGAGCTAAATGCCATTTGAGGTAAATGCTATTAACATGAACTCATGCTTTTTGCTTTTCCCTCAAAATGCATTTTTCCATCAAGATGCTGTTCTATCCACAGGTCAGTTGGTTTTGTATTGGTATCTGGATAATGAAGCCAGATACAAGGGTGTGGTAGTCACAGGAGGAAATTCCTTTAATCATTAAAGACTAATGATGACTGATAAGCTAATTGTTTATTCACTGGATTATTATAAAGAAACGACCATATAATGCTGTGGAAGCCTCAGAGTGTGTCGGAAGAGGCAAAAGATTCTATTTTCTTTGGTTCCTCTTACTTTTTACATGGCTGTAAATAGTTTGGTCTCTTCAAAACCCCATCTGATTCTTTAGCAGGCAAAGGATCCAACTCTGATTGGTACTAGCCAGAAACGTTAACACAAGTGCTTTCATCACAAAATTATCTGCTCAGTTGAAAAAAAAAAATGTTTCACTTCAGAAGATAAGGAAAAGAAACTCTTTATGTTAGGTTGTGTTAGAGCAGTTCCCCTGTAATCCTTCCCTGGAAGGTTTTGTTCAGGAAAAATGACCTGCAGGAAAAGCAATATGGACGTACCTCTCTGGATATTATGTATATATTGGTTTTGTTTACTGCTTTCATTCTTAAAAGGAACATTTTCATAAAACACAATGTTATTAGGCCCTCTCCTGCATTGACTCTCATCTAGATATCAGTTTATTTCCTCAGCCCCTCCCCACTGCTCATGTTTACCCTAGCAGTACACCCTATTGTAGAATCATTATTACATAGGATTTTTAACACTGTCCTCAACAGATACAATTGTGTTTATCTACTTAAACAAAATGATTCTTTATTGTCAGAATTATATTTCCTCATCTTTTATATTTTTATCTGTTTGTTTAAATTGTTCGAAGCTGGCATAGCTTTACTATGTACTTCTACTGGACTGAAGAGTATTTTTAAAATCACCTATTAAAGAATTATGTTTCAGAAACATAATATGTTTACAAATTAATTAAAATAAATACCTCCCCATATCAAATGAATTAGGTATTTTGTTAGGCTATTCATATCCTGTACTTCGTTACCCTGCCTGGATATATTACCTATATAATGCATAAACTTACACTGACATCAGACATATCTTAGTACTCTTAATACAGAAAATATGAGATACCCAGTGCTACAACACACTAAATGCTGTACAGTTCACAAATTAGATTCATGGATCAGTCAGATCTTTAGAGGACAATTTTTCATAATTTAACTACTTCTAGTTGACAAGAACAAATTGCTTTGTTGCTGGTTCTCATGTGAGTAGTTTACTTATTTATTAACTTCTTGACACAAAGAATTTGAATTTTCCCACTGTTGTACACTTTTGCCACCAGGTAATACAACACACTTGGTCAGCGAACCTAAGGTGCAATATAAATATCAGAGATACTTATTTTTGTTTTATCCAGTAATGCTATGAGAGAGAGGGGGTAAATATTCTCTATTGCTGTTAATGAATGAAGGGATTTAATAAGACAGTCCTGAAGCTGAATTTATGAAAGAGAGACTTTAGGAGATCATATGAATAAATTAGAAACTTTAGCATAGTATCAGTATATGAGTTTACAAAATCTATGCAATTGGAAAGGTGAAGGGTAGTTTTCACTGTCTTTAATTCCCCTTTCAAAGCAAACAGTTTCAGTATCTGACAAAGGTATTAGGCAAGGCATATAAAAATTACATTAAGGACCAGGTCATAAATGTTTTATTTGTGACTCTTACTATTTTCTTTTCCATCCTAATAATTTTCTTCCACATTTCCATTGTAAGTATTATCTGCTGAAGTGAGATTGTTCCATCGTCTTTTTATTGCTTTTCATTTCAATAGTTGTTTGTTTTCCAGCTTGGGGTATAAAACAATTCAAGTGGGAAACACTACATATTGGCTACTATTAATAAATTCTTAAATTTCACCGCATAAAATACAAAGTTTCTGGTCTCTATAGCGTCTATGTCTAGAGGTTTGAAGAAACACACATCTGCAAATGAAATTTGAACTCACACCAACACTAACTTACACTCAGGTTTTGATTCTCTACTGAGCAACTTTACAGACACAGTCTATTGATTTAACAAATAAATACCTAAACTCAACTCAGGATTATGTGGATGGAACTGAAGTTGGCTTGTCATCACAGGAAATAAAGCTTTTTTTTCAATCACATTCTTTCAAGAACAATAAAAAGGGATTATACCGCAACAAGACATATTTGACACTACAGATAATAATGTATAGTAAATTGTAATAATATATCTATGCAACTTTGTTGTCAAAAGCTATACATCCTTCTTTACCAAGTGCCAAAAAGAAAGCTCCTTATCATTGCTACCGCATTATGGTGTCTGTAGGAAAACCTCCTCTCTAAATGTTATGCTAGAATTCCAAGAATTTTCCACATAATATGAGCCCCACCAACTAGTCCAATGTCTCTTTTTTTGGTAGGAAGATTGTATATTTGATTTTTTGAAATATCTACTTTCCCACAAGAGATGTTTGCGTTTCATTCAGGAAAGAAAAAAAAATACTCTAAGCCTTAAGATTTTCCACAAACACCCTATGTGGTCAGTTCAGAAATGTTGCTTTTACTGACCCTATGGTTAAGATTACATATGCCCTCAGGTCTGTCCCATGGGCTCCTTAGGGATTTTATGCAACTCTGTGCCCGTGATGGAGCCCAAAATGGTGTTAGGCCTACAGGGGAGATTGAAGGCCTGAAATGAATACTAGAACTTTATGAGACACTCTAATGAACTACCAGAAAATAAATTATTAAAAAAAAAAAAGGGAGATTAAGAAACTGGTTTTCTGCAGCTTTTCATATATTAAGAAATTAACGTAATGTATTAATTCAGATAGACATCACAATTATCCTTTTTCCCCTAAAGTAGCAGTTCAAAACCAATTGTAGGTAAAATGTGAAAGCAAAAAAAATTACACTTTTATTCATTTCAGAGATGTTAGAAGATATTGAACTCCCTCAGAAAAGAAAACAGAAGAGTGTTTGTTAAAGATCTCCATAATTCAAAGATTTACTTCAGTGAACCACTGGAGGCAAATATAAAATTAATGTAGTAGATTATATTGCAAATATATGTATATTATATATATATACACACTACTGCATAATTATTAGTGCATGTTTTAAATTCTGAAATTAAGGCAAATATGTTTATTTAGATTTTCTTTTAAAACAGGATACTTCCCATGACTTCTAAGTATTCTACCCAGAAAAGTGCTAACGCACCCGAAGTGAGGCAATGTATAAAAGCTCCTCCATATTGCAGCTAATCTGCAACTAGTGAGGATTATTTTGGTTTGCAGGTAATCAGGTAGAGTTAGAAATCAAAATTCGAAAGAAACCAAACCATGTTGCAAATGTATGTCTGATTTTGATGTTTTAGTTTAAAAATAAGTTCTTAAAATTGCAGATACAAGTTTTGAGAACATTTTAAAATAATATTAATTCCACACATTTGGAAAAGACATTCACAATAATGAAAGAACTTGGTGTTCTTTTGCTCAGCATGTGGCAATAAAAATATTAATAATACTTGTCCGTTTCACTTTTCATAGGCAGACCAAATGAAATTAGTGTAAAGGCCTACAAATCCAAAAAAAAAAAAAAAAAAAATCATTAAGTGTTCATAAAAGATCTGTTTTAATTTTAAAAAATATTTTGTTGTGCCCCCTTAGATACAGAAGTGCATTAAAAAATATTCGCTCTACTACCTTTGGGGTAATTAAGATTTAAACCCATCCTAATAAATTGTATGACAAATAAGCCAGGCAGTTTTAGTTTAATCCCTTATATAGTCTGACATGCAGTTTAAGGCGCAATTAGACTCTTCAGAAAAGAAAGCTAAATATGGTCTACCACACAAGAAAT